GTTCTCTTTCAGTATTCTTACTCCGTTTGGTGTTCGGCTGAGTTCTTTATCTCTTCATTTGATGTTCTAGGGTTTCAGGATTGTTGATTCTGTTTGGCTTAGTTTTTCGGATCTTTGTTGTGGAGGGACGGCGTGGTGCTTCTGCCTAGACCGCCATCTTGCCGGAGAGTCTGATAGTACTTTTAAGGGCATGAAAATTGGCTCTTGGGAACCAAAACATCTTCGATATCATAATGGTTTGTAGCCCTCTTAGTCATCTGTGCTGCTATAACAGAAATACCACAAGCGGATGGCTTTAACAAAGAGAAGTTTCCTCATAGTAAAGTAGGCTAAAAGTCCAAATTCAGGGCATCACCTCCAGGGGAAGCCTTTCTCTTTCCATTGGGCTTCTTCTCATCAGTGTTCCCCTGGACTAGGAGCTTCTCCGGGCAGGGACCCCAAGTCCAAAGGACGTGCTCTGCTCCTGGCACTGCTTCTTGGTGGTATGAGGTCCCCCTGTCTCTCTGCTCACTTCTCTCTTTTATATCTCAAAAGATTGGGCCTCAGGACACAATCCAATCTTGTAGACTGAGTCCTGCCTTACTAACACAACTGCTGCCTATCCTCTCTCATTAACATCATAGAGGCAGGATTTACAACATACAGGAAAATCACACAATACCGGGAATCATGGCCCAGCCAAATTGATAAACACATTTTTGGGGGACATAATTCAAACAATGACACCCTCTACAGCTCATCCCTGCCCCCCAAAATCTTCTTAGTATTCAATTTTTCCCGTTAGAGAGAAATTAACTTAATTTTTCTTCTTAGGGGGTGATAATGAAAAAAGGTCGAGAAACACTGGTATAGATTATCAATTATAGTAAATGATGGAAAACTGCAGAAAGTGTGGATACAAGGCAAGTTTGTGGGAAAAAACAGTGCAGAAACTGTAAATAATTTAGTTTAGGGAGGGCTTGATGATTTTCTGTATTTAGTATTGTCTTGTTCCTTTCATTCCTTTAACCACTAAAGCAATTTCACTTGTTTTAAGTTAAATTAAAAATGAGCCTTTATGACAGGGAAGGAGTCCCTGGGTGGTGCAAATGGTTAGCGCTTGGCTACTAACCAAAAGGTTGGTGGTTGGAATCTACCCAGGGGAGCCTCGGAAGAAAGGCCTGGCAATCTACTTCTGACCAATCACAGCCATGAAAAACCCTGTGGATCACAGTTCTATTCTGAAACCCCATGGGGGCAGAATTGACTCCATGACAACTGGGTTTTTTTGTCTTGTTTTCTTTTGACAGGGAGCTGTAATAAAACTTTAAATAATATTTTAAAATACTCCTTTCCTTAAGGGCTGTTTTAATAATGTTTGGAGTTGCTCCAACAAGATCAGTAGAGCCCAACTAAAAGAAGACCAGAACAATCAGAGACTAATATATTCCTAAAAATTCTCATGTCATGGACAGAATCAGGATTGATTTTACCAAAATTTATATCAAGTGCTTAGATACAAGCTCTTTTGTTCTCACAACCGATTTTTTTTACTGACTCGAACTGAAATCCACATTGGCGACAAAGAATGCTTATGCTAGCACTCCCTGCTTTTCTGAGCTTCTTCAATTGTGAGTCTTCTCTGATTTGAATAGAAAAGACTTTGAAAGTCTTAAACTCCAAAAAATCTATTATGCTGTTGCATGATCCCTTGCTCTAAAAGCAAATAGTAGCACTTATAATCCAAATCTAGGACCTCTGTGAGATTCAAGCCTTTTCATCAAAGAGCTGTATCCTCTTAACTCTGCTCAACTTTGCTTGCCATATGCATAGTGGTCAAGAATACGGCTCTGAAGTCAGATTACCTGGGTTCCAATCTTGGCTTCACTACTTAACATATAAATTTAAACACATGTCTGTAATCCTTCTTTACCTCAGTATCCTCATTTGTAAGATGGTGAAATAGTAAAACTGCCTGTTTTGCTATAACATAATGTATTAATAACATCAATTAGCTCACATGTCGCAAGTAAGCAAAGGAATGATGTCACTAGAACATGGAAATTGTTAAAATGCTTTTTTTTTTCCCCAGAGGGGAGCCAGAGAAGCAGGAGTAGAATTACAACCTTTAGAAGGCAAGAAAAAAGCCTTCAGCTCAGAGGCTGCACAGGCATGAGCCCTTTCAAATGTATTTTAAGAAAATGAAAAATGAGTGTCTGCACTGGGGGCTCCTTCCCTAGAAAGGCACACATCACAACCTTCACCGTTCTTAGTTGTTGTACCTGGTCTTGTGCCCACCTCAACGGCAGCCCCACTGGCCCAGAGCACCACTTCCATCCGACTATTTCAGTGTTTCAACTTTACTATTTTCGTATATTTTTAATAGACCCTGAGGGGTAGCCTGCCTGGGCTATCCAATTCATCTCCCAAGCTACCAATTATTGCCTTTGTTAGTACTCTGGTTACAAAGTTGCAAAAGTTTTGAGTAGTCTATCCTAACTCTATTCTTCGCATAAGCCTTGTTAATGTGGAATTTTTGCAGAGTGTTAATTTCCACCAACACCTCCAGGAAAAAAAAAAAAAAACACATTGATCATATCTAGGCTAAATGCCAGTAGCTGGCAGGATTAAATGGTAATCTATGTAAAGGGTTTGGTACACTGTATGGCACATAATAAGCAGTCATTAAATGTTAGTAGTAGTGTTGTTATTACTCTTAGCCATGTTCTTATCCAGGCAAATCAACTTGTAATCTCTCCCCCAATTCTGAGACCTGGAATAATCTGCCCTTCTATTTTACCTTTCAAACCCTAAATTTAAAACCCAAGTCTTTTAAACAGATTGATGATTAATCCAGAATCAGTTACATTAAAGCCTATAAAGGCCCCTCTCAACTTGATTATCAGATAGTTGGAGGCAAGAACTAAATGTATCCCTACCATAAAACTTGAGATGTGCTTAGTCATATGTCTAGGAATGAAAGGATATTAAAATTTTTTAAATGACTTCAATACAAAGACAATAAACAAGGAGGTCCTACTTTCAGAGTAAGGAGAATTTTAAATGACTTCAATACAAAGAGAAGAAACAAGTAGGCCCTATGGAATCATGAGAAAAGATAAAAATGTTAACAGTCTGATTTTCCTTTCAGAGTACGTGCGCAGAGTTAAACTGCTCCACAGGGTTTTCAAGGCTGTGACCTTTCAGAAGCAGATTGCCAGGCCTGTTTTCTGAGACACCTCTGGGTGGGGTTCAAACTACCAACCTTTAGGCTAGTAGTTGAGCACTTTAACCGTTTGTGCCACTTAGGGGCTTCTTATAGGCATAATGATCACTTAAAATTATTTTTCAAGGATAATATGTTATCACAGTACACTGTGTAGGGCCGTGAACATTGAAAACTCTCAATAATTGTCTATCGATGTCAGTGAAATGGAAAAACTATGCAAACTTTTACTTACTTTCCCCTTGAGAACAGGAACAAGACAAGGATGCCCTTTATCACCCTCCTACTTAACATTGTGCTGGAAGTTCTAGCTAGAGCAATAAGGCAAGAAAAAGTTTATTTCTGGGGCATCTAGATTGGTAATGAAGAAGTTAAACTGTCCCTGTTTCCAGATGATATGATACTAGACACAGAAAACCCTAAAGACTCCACGAGAAATCTACTGGAACTAATA